CAGCCTTTTCCTAACTACTTCGTCGTTCTATTACGAATGTCCAAGTTGCTTGTCCCATCCTTCCATGACATTCCTAGCACCTGCATTCAAAGGCCAGATGTTGTAGGGGGGGGGAGGTTCTCTCTCTCTGTCTCCCTCTCGCTCGAGTTGCAAAGCTACAGTCCAACTCTCTGACCCATCCTGTTAACACGGTCATCACACCTGCTTCAAAAAAAGCCATCCTTCAAAAACCCCAGAGTTGACACCTCGACTCTTTCAAAGTGGTTTAGGTAATCCATCAAATCCCCCACGTATAAACAGCTGAAGAATGCGCGCAGTGTAATTGCACAGCAGGTAAGGCATTCCTAAAATACTGTGTAACAACTCCTTGTTACAAAAAAAAGCATCTCGATTTTCTATCTAAATCACTCTCGTCTAAATGGCTCTCTTCCATTGTGAATCCACCGCAAGATGAAAGCCTCCCAAAATCTCCGCACATTTCTGACCGTGGCTGATGATGATTGATCAGGGATGCTGCTGCTGATGATGATGAAGATTGAGTCAAGTCAAGCAACGATTCCTCACAAGGGCACGATTCGTACGACGCGGCTGCCGGTCATCTCGCCCCGGACAAATTAATGGCAACGAAACCCTTCAATCCCGGCTATAAGTTTTCTATTTGTTTTTCAAGCGAGAGGATAATTGACCTTACAAGGAAGCTGCCTGGAACGGTCGCGCTTGGCTTCAGAGAGAAGGGCCCGCTTTGCGCTGTGCGTGCTGTCTCCTGCGTGCGACGCAACATTCGATTTCTCTCGCTCGCGTTCACCCTGCGTCGACGCACGGCGGCATCGCTTGTGCAACGGCGTCTCACGGAAAGCGATACCAGCTGCAGCAGCAGCAGCAACAGCAGCAGCAACCACCCAGCCCACGAGCACAACATAACGCGCCATCTCGAGTCGCCTGCGTTGTTGCACAATTGTCGATGGGCTGTAGTACAGAACGCGGCGTGACCTTGGAAGCCTGCTGTAGATTAGCGTCGTGTTGTTGGTGTTGTTGGTGTTGTTGGTGTGGTTGGTGTTGATGGTGTTGTTGGTGTTGTTGGTGTTGTTGGTGTGGTTGGTGTTGTTGGTGTGGTTGGTGTTGTTGGTGTTGTTGGCGTGGGTTGTTTGTTTGTTGGAGAATTTCAGTTGTTCGCGAGATTGTGTTTTCACGCCACGGGCATGAGTATGCTGTGTGTCTGTGTGTGTATATATATTGTGTGTATGTGTATATTGTGTCTGTGTGTGTCTATATAGTGTGTCTGTGGGTGTATTTAGATTGTGTTTGTGTGTGTCTGTGTGTGTATATTGTGTCTGTATGTGTCTGTGTGTCTGTGTGTGGCTGTGTATATTGTGTCTGTGTGTATATATTGTGTCTGTATGTGTCTGTGTGTGTAGATATTGTCTCTGTGTGTGTCTGTGTGTGGCTGTGTATATTGTGTCTGTGTGTATGTATATTGTCTGTATGTGTCTGTGTGTGGAACGTGTCGGGCGTGGTGCTGGCCACCCACCCCCTCGCGTGCCGTGCCGACCTTTCATAGGTGCTCGCAAACAGCACTTGCCCCAGCAGTCTGCTGAGGCTACACGGGTGGGTCTCTGTATGGAGAGTCAGTGATTCCAATGCATCCACCGACAGTGATCGGAAGAAGCGCTACGATTCGGTTGGTCGCGATTCACTCCCAGAACACGTTTCACTTGCATTGGTCGCTGTGCATCGGGGTCTTTGTGCTTGCTTGACCCGTTTTGCACAGTTTCGTTCAACTCCATTAATCCTATAAATACTGGAACGTGAGCATCATCATCGTGACCACATCTCTGACAGGCACCGGCGCCCTTGTGTCAACTCCACTGCTGGATGAGTGCCCCTCTACGCCCGTGGGGGTGATTTGACCAAAGCGGCGTCGACGCCGGAGCAGAGAGGCGAGCACAGCGACTGGGTTCGCTTCGTGACCACGTGGCCCACACCCCCCAAGCGCAATGCGTGGGTGGTGGTGGTCGTCTGTCTCCGACCGTCCGTCATCCAAGCTGAGCCCTGCTTAGCTTCCCAGATGTGATGAGAGAGCAAGTCGACCGCAGTGTGCCCCGGGCCTCGCAACATCTCGGAAGCTAAGCAGGAGGGAGTTGAGCCTGCTTGGAGATGATTGTCCAGGCAATGTGCGAGACGCAGGCGGAGAGTGGAGGCGGCGTTCGAGCGGTGCAGCAAAACCACTCTGCACTCATCCCAGGCCACTGCACCGGCGTGGTGAAGTATGGTCAATTATTAATCGTGGCAGCCTCATTCAGCAGCTGCTCGATTAAACGGGTGGGGGGGGGGGGGCGCTGTAAACATGGAGGCTGCACGACTCTCTTGGGGAGGGAGACCGCCGGGGTACGATAGTAAAGACATCACAGAACAGAACGGAACAACACAAAAAGGGTCACGAGCCAAAGTCGACAGAGGGTGACTCACGCACAGATCGATTTGGTCAATGGTGAAGACGGGGCCAGGCGAGGAATCGAACCCTGGGTGGCAGAGTTTCGGAGTTTCAGGGTGCCCAATTAACCCATCCGCGACAGCGCTTCAAACCGGTCGTACTGAACGAGTTGAACACGTGCGCAGACGTCTGCATGACAGCCACACGTGTCGCAGCTGATCCACTGCCAATGCAATAGAGCGTAAGACGTACGCGTGCACACAGACACGTGACAACCAACGTACACGCCACACACGCGTGGCCGAGTGGTGCAGGCGAATGCGGTTATACAAAGACAAAGATCACCCCGTATAGCCTTCACGTACTTTTGAGGCAAGTGCTGTTAGCGAGCATCTATGAAGGGTGGGTACGAGACTCGAGGTGGTGGGTGGCCAGGGCCACGCCCGGCCGCGCGTCATCACACACACACATACACACACATCTATTTACACACACACACACACGTATTTAGACACACGCACACATACACACGTATTTAGACACACGTATACACGTATCTGCACACACACACGTATTTACACACATACCTACGTACATATACACACATATTTACACACACATACACAAGTATTTAAACACACACATACACATGTATTTAAACACACTCACACATACACACGTATCTACACATACACACACGTTTTTACACACACATACACACGTATTTACATACAGGCGTATATGTATTCATACACGTGTACATACATATGAATACACACATATACACATTCACACACGTTTACATGAACGTATCCATATATGCCCATTTACTCACACACGTGTAGACACAAAATTACGTACTTTGACACGTACGTACTTTTTTATTTATTATATCTATAAATACGCACGTTTACACGCATCGGAACTCGGACACAATCGTCGACACCAGCACACTCACTGAGCCAACACAAACGCGCGCGAGGTCGTACAACAGAAACCACAACACTGCACCCCACACACAACTCCACAAGCTGCCCATGACGTTAATTAAAACAACATGTACACAACCATGCGAACAAGGTTCACACAACTTCACGCAGAAACTCGCCAACAGCAACGCGAAATGCACGAAGCGTGAAACGCAACGCGCACGGACATAAGAATGTAGAGCACATGTTACACACACATACACACACACATACACACAATTATTTACATACACACACGTCTTACACACACATACACACACATACACACACGTATTACACACACATACACACACACATACACATGTATTACACACACATACACACACGTATTACACACACATACACACACACATACACACACGTATTACACAAACACACATATTACACACGTATTTACATACACACACATACAAAGATTCCCCGTATAGCCTTAACAGACTGTAAGGGCAAGTGCTGTTAGCGAGCACCTACACACAGCGTATTACACACACATATACACATATTTACATACACACACGTATTACACACACATACACACACGTATTACACACACACACATATACACACGTATTTACATACACACACATACACACGTATTACACACACATAAACACACGTATTTTTACATACACACACATACACACGTATTACACACACAGCGCCATGCACAGCGCAATGATACACAGCAAAGACAAAGGTTCCCCCGTGTAGCCTGTAACAGGCTGTTGGAGCAAGTGCTGTTAGCGAGTAGCACCTATGAAGGCCGGCACGGCACAAGAGGGGGGTGGGTGGACAGCACCACGCCCGGCCGCCTTTGTCTCCCCAGTGACGATGTTTACGCATCGCACCGGCTACTCATTTGAGGCTGAGTCGACCTAGGGGAGGCCCAGGACCGGTTTCAGACAATCATCACCGGTGTTGGCCGTGTGCGGGAATCGAACCTGGGTCGCTGGGTTCGTAACGCAGCGTAGCGCTAACCGCTGCGCCACCGCTCCTCCACAGCGCAAAGCCACAACAGCCACATTCATCACCAGCGTTTGTCGCCAACACGTGCAATTAACACGAGCTCGGGAAATCCAGAGAAGTGCATCTCAGGGTCCCAGGGCGAGTGGAACTGGTCTCGGGGTTCCGTGCAAGGTCTGAATGAGCCCTGCTCCAAGGACAGTTAGAACGAGACGATATTCTGGCAGACTGCGGTGGGAGATCGAGTCCAGAGGTGGTGGTGGTGATGAGCAGCAACAGGAGTTAACAAGGACGCGATGCGGAAGAGGCAAGCGAAATGGGAGGGGGGGGACCTGGGACAGGGCAACGACATCTGACACGGGAGAGCAGAGCCCTACAGGAGACCTGGTCCCCGGAACGCACGGGAGAGATGTTGCAGAGGACACGACAATGACGGGTTGACACGCGACACACGGGGTGACCCACGAGACGATTCAAGAGACACGACGCACGCACATCGGGGTTGCACGTCTCGCAAGCAAAGGGGGAACCTGGGAGAGAGGGGACCTGGGACCCTGGAGGGTGAGGAAGGGTGGGGCGGGCGGGTGGGTGGGTGGTGGGGGAGAGATATCCCTCACCTTGCCAAGGCAGTCGCGTAACAGGGCGACAAGAACGAGCAGCACCAACGGCGCCTGAAGCGCGCCCGATGGCCGCATGGCCGCGCGGAATCGAGCGCGGGGCGCCTGGGAGCGGAGGGGCTCGAAGGGATGGACGCCTCTCGGACGGACGACGGCCGATGAACGCGCGCAGGGGGCGGACGGAGCGATGCACAAAGCGAGGAGGCAGACAGGCGGCCAGGGTGGACGGCTCCGGGATGAACTGGGGGGGAGGGGTGGCGGGGGTGGAGGGGAGGGAAGGGCGGCTCCGAGAGGAGCGGGGGTAGGGAGGGAGGGGAGAGGGGAGGAGGTGTCCGCCAGGGATGGGAGGGAGGGAGGCAGGGTCAGCGAGCGCGGCTCCACGTGTCCTCGGAACGCAGTGCGCGCACTCGGCCCACGGATTGTCGCGCAGCGCAGCGGGGGTGGGTGGGGGGGGGGTGACTTGGCATCCACAGGGGCTGTGGACAAGGCTCGGCGCTCATGTTCAGAATGGGTGTTGCGCCGTGGTGCGTGCGCGCGTGTTGTGTTGTTGTCTGTGTGTTGTGTTGTTGTCTGTGTGGTGTAGCGACCCGGGTTCATTCCCGCTCACGGCCAACACCGGTGACGATTATCTGAAACCGGTCTTGGGCCTCCCCTAGGTCGACTCGGCCTCAAATGAGTACCTGGTGCGGTGCGTAGTAAACATCGCCACTGGGGATACAAAGGCGGCCGGGCGTGGTGTTGTCCATCCACGCCCTCGTTTGCCGTGCCGGCCTCCATAGGTGCTACTCGCAAACAGCACTTGCAATAAGTCTGTTAAAAGGCTATACATCGATTTTTTACAATTGCTTATGATGGGCTTTGGCCAAGCCTGCACGCTTACAAGGAACCCTCTCTAACAGCCAGTCGAAAGGGATTTGAGAGATCTGACACTTCACGCCACGTGTGTGTGCGTGAGTTTTGTGCGCGTGGAAACTACCAAAGATTCATGGTGTTGCCAAACATCCAACCTCTCATCGTTGAAGCAAAAAAAAAATACACACATACAGTATATATAGAACTCTTGAGGCTCGGTGAGACTTTCCTGCGCAAATGAAATACGAAATTATTATTGTGTTTCAGAAGTCACATGTTCGCCCATCATGATGAGTGGTGTCACAGTGGTAAGGTCACTATTATCGGTCGCTTCCTTTCCCAGGCTGATGTCATTACACGTGCGATTTTATTTATATGTGCACGGTATTGGGACCTTGGGCTCCCTGGTTTAAATAAAGGGTGCATGCCTCACGTGACCTTGGGGAGCGGTGGTGCAGTGGTTAGCGTTACTGTGATTTTGATCCGGATAACGGGAATCAATCGATTCACGGCCAAGGCGAACAACAGCGGACGGCGGTATTTGAATCGATCCTGGCCGGCGCACCCCCTACCCCTTCATCCAGCCCGCACTGTCCAGCATGGTCAAAGAACCCCCACGACCGACACAGCGTGGGGAGGCCTTCAGGAGTAGATTGACGAAAGGAGTTACTCGTTTAATTGCATTAACGTGTAGTTGTGTGCATCCGTCAGTGGTGTTGCGTGTGCTGTGTACAAGGCACTGGCTGTGATGTTGCGCGCTGTGTACATGCGGGTCGGACGTCGATAACACGTGTGCCACTTTGTGAACAATCAGCATCGCTAGGCATAGGGATTGACTCGTTCTATAATACCAGCCTGTAGAAATGACCACTCTACTTGCTGTACTGCTAACTACTTGCTGTACTGCTGTCTGCGAACAGCCCCCTGCCCTACAGACGCATGTGATCATTTCAGTGATCCACTAACCCCGACGGTCAGGTGATGGATCACGGACATGCATCATCGCACGCGCACGATCCATGATATTTTGCTCGGTGCTCTCGTGCAAAACACATCCGAGTCGATGGGTTTCGGCGTAAGCTGTGCAATGAAGAAACGATTGACAACATTGCTGCTGAGCTCCTGGTCACCTCGCTGCCACGGACAAGGGCTAACAAGGCTAAATCCATCTGACGGCAGTGGCCGCTTTCTGAATTTTCCGTGTCAATTACGGCGAAGTGACCAACAGCAGACGCTAGAGGCGGTATCATCGCTCTGATTACAGCAGGGTACGAATACAGAAAATAATATTCATCGCGCTCGCGGAGCGGCAGCCACGGCAGTTGAGCGCTTGCGACGTGTACGGTGCTGGGGTGATTGTCACAACGCAGGATCGCGAGGGGGTGACGATAGGTTTTGGGGCGAGGAGGGAGGGAGGAGGACGTCTTCCTCCAGCAGTGGATCGACCATGTCTGATGATGATAAAAGCGCGATTGTCTCGACGTTTAAATCACGTGGTAGGATTTGTGGGGTTTTAGAGCAGTGTGGCACACGGGAGTTCGAGCGCCGCGCTACGAACCAAAGCCACCCGAGTTCGATTCCTCGGCACGGCTAACATCAGTGGCAAATGATATCTGCATCGATATGTTTACCAACCCGTCCTGTCCAGCGTGGTGAAGTATGGTCAAACAATCACCGTGACTGGCACGGGATTGAGAGGCCCGCATCTGAGCAGTGGATTGGCAATGTCAGATGTAGGTGAACAATAAACACCTTTTAGTAGCATGGCCTTACTTTAAATTTCATCAACACCTTTGATCGTGGCGCTGAACATAATCAAACGACTGTATGAGAGAGAGAGACGCAAACTCCAAATATACAGCAGCAGGCGTCAGGGTCGGGATCGAACCCACGGCCTCCTGTATACCAGGCGAGGTAGTTAACATCTCGTCACCACAGCGTTATGAAAGGGTGGGGGGTTACATGCAGGGGCGGGGGGAGGGAAGAGGAAGAAATTGGCAGTGGCGAAGAGGTGAGGCTTTAAGAGAGTATTTACACTTTAATAATACATTTTCCAACAGCAGCAGCCCTGATCTATCCACTGCTGGATGAAGGACTCCCCACGTCGTCACCATCCCGCAGTCCCGCTGCCGCACTTGAGCGAATCTGATCTGAAATGAGAACCTAGTGCGGTATGTAAACTTCAGCGCTGGAGAGACAAAGGCGGCCAGGCGTGATAGTAGCCACACCGCGCTTTCGTCTTGTCCTGTGCCAGTCTTTATATTCGTGCTACACTCGAACAGCACTTGCCCCGATGGTCTATGCAGGCTATAGGACTATATATATATAATTGCAGCACAGCAAGTGAACTAATATCCACCTGGTTCCATCTGTACGGGGATAGAGCGTTTCCCCCTCGCACGCGCGGGGTTTCTCCGGGTGCTCCGGTTTACTCCCACTGGAATAAAAACACATCCACCAACACCTCACCACCATCATTAACATACCACCAAAACGAATATACTCACCATCACCACTAATATACTCATATATAAGATGCTCACCACCATCATTATCAATATATTCACCACCACCATGAATATATCTACCACCGGCGATGCTCCCTGACTTCCTGTCGAGGCCTGCTTTCTCTGTCTTGGGGATTTCCGTGCCGGCTTCCCTTCCCTTTCCCGGTAATCTTTTTTGAGGGAGGGAAAAAAGCCACCCTCAACTTAAAGCTGTCTTCATCCTTCACCTCCCTTGACTATTGTGCTTCCATGCCTGTTCCATCCCGTTAAAATTTCCCCCATCTTTTTTCTCTGCTCCGTTCCCATGATCAGTTTTCACGCGTGACATTCACGACCAGCGTGGTGCTTACACCTTCACCGCAGCCTGCAGCAACTTCGGTTCTCAGAAAGGGCATCTCGCACCCACAGAAGAATAACCTCTTGCTCCAGACTCGACTCCCCGTCTCGTGGCGTGCCACGTACACGAAACTAAACGAACACAAAAAACTTCATCGCAACAATTTCAGCAAAACCTTCGGTGGCGTTCTGCACCACGGACAACCATCGATGACCAATCTGCTCTGTTCCAATGCAAATGCGGTCGCGAAGTTCGCGAGCCCTGTTTGAGTTAGACGACTCTCTCTGTGATGTATTGCATTATATTTCTAAGTTTACTGTGTTTGGTTTTCTCATTCATTCTTACCCGATGACGGTTACATACTCTTAGTTTTTTCGGTAATGTCACGTAGGTAAAAAATTCATTTTTAATTAATAAAAATAAAATAATAAAAATCACGACGTTTCGGAGGCAACACAAGTCTCCGTCATCAGGTGGGGCCGTTTTTACCTACGTGACTTTACCGATAAAACTAAGAGTATGAATCCTTGCAGTCACGAAAGCTTCAAATATAGAACTGATGACGGTTTCTTGTGTTGCAATCGAAACGTCGTATTCTATTATTACTTTATTCTATTTTCTACGTGACTTTACCGAAAGAACCAAAGAGGACGTGAACCTTCTTCGCGCCCGTGGGAGTCCGCCGAACCCGTCCCACGTGACGCACAGAGTTCTTCGGCATCGGAATCACTTGGATGCGTGTACGGCCGTACGTACGTGCGTTTGCACTTCTTTCGCACCGTACGTAGCCAACCGTGCAAATCGTAGGTGCGTACGTGTATGTCCCACGTAACAGTAATGATTCGAATTAAGGTCTCGAACATGCACCTGTGTGTGTGTGTGTCCCGACATACCGCCTCACATTAATTAAATCTAAAAAGTATTTTTTTTAGCACCACACCAATAACCGCCCGACCTTTGACCCCCCTCAGCTCCAACAGCACCGCGGGTCAAGGTAAAGGGGGCGGCTCACGCCCGCTGGGGCTGCCTGTGCCTTCAAATATCGGAGGAAATCGCCGCTCTCTGCGAGTGGCCCGGCTTAATGCGCCATCTGTTTTGTGGAAGTGCAGACAGCGATGCAGGGCCTGAAGCTCTTTGAAAGTGTTGGAAAGAGTTGACCTCCCACGCCAACTGCCTGAGGTAGGTTGGCGATTGTGTGCTGCAGGCTGCCTAATCTCCCCCATTGACACAGCTGACGTGCTTGCGTGCGGGGATGGGATTCCTTTCCAGTTCAGATCCCGCCTGCTTGCCCATAGCCACGTATATAACGTCTTGTTGTGACGGCTCTCTCGCTGAGTTTCTTCCTGGTTCAGTAATTCCACTGCTGGATTATTTTTTCCGCCTGAGGACGACCGCTTGTGTTGCGATCGAAACGTCAGTGATTTATTATTTTTTATTTTATTTATTTTTACCTACGTGACTTTACCGAAAGAACCAAAGAGATTGATTCCTGCAGTCACGAAAGCTTCAAATCAATGATTGCCCTATATGACATCATTACGACTATCTGGTGGTCCACAGAACGGGTTTCACGGGACTGGAACGATGACCTAGGTGGTCCCCCATTTTTAAGAAGAGGTAACGCACTGATTGCTAAACCGATACCAGCGGTGTCAAGATCGGCCTCTGTGGAGGAGGAGGCTCGTGAAGGACACGTTGCTGCTGCTGCTGGGCAGTTGGAGACAGTCGCCCTCCAACAACAACCGAGGGCGGATGAGCGACGCTCACAACAACGAGCGGATGGTCGGGCGCTTCCACTCGTCGACACAACGGGGAGCACAGGTGGTGCATCTGCCGGTCACCTCCGTCAACGCATGGCACCTGGGTCTGTCCCGTGACCTCCTCCTGTCAAAACAGCGGCCCTTCGACACTTCACGTGGCACAAGCTCCGCGGTGACGTCACCGCCACTTAGTATCTACCAGTCAATGTGTCGTTGTTATTGTTGTTATATTTCGCGTGCTATGAGTGCGCGGCACAGCGAGCGCTTGCCCGGGGTCGAACTCAGTGTTCGGTCTGCCGGGAGCGAGCGAGGGAGCGATCGAGGGAGCGAGGGAGCGCTTCTGCTGAGGGGAGAGGCGGCGCCTCGGATGAACCGCCCTCAACCAACCCCATCCCCGCTCCGAGCCCGCGCGTGTGCACGCTGGCACCACCTCACTCTCCCCTCTCTCCTCCGCATCCAGCCTCCCTCCCTCCTCCTCATCCTCCTCATCCCCTCCCTGGCGGCGCGGGGAGTGAGTGGAGTTGGTGGTGGTGGTGATCGTGAGCGCCGTGCGTGAGCTTCTTCGAGCCTCGGGGTTTAATCCCCGCGAGCCGAGCGAGCCCAAGGGGCCCTTGCTTTATTTTATTTATTTTGTCATTTTTCGGAAGTTCCGACTTTGTGCCACTTTGGATCAGGTCCATCAGCGGAGTCGGTATGGGAGATGCAAGGTGAGCAGAATTCGTCAGCACCGACAGTATCATCGTCGTTGTCGTCATCGTCATCAGCAGCAGCGAATCTCCTGAACCGATAAGCATCATCAAACTTTCTTAACAGATATTCATCACCAGCCCCTCTTATAATACTTTATTTATAATCAGCAGCAGCAAACTTTCTTATGCTAATTATCATCATCATCTCTTCATATTGTACTCGATAATATATAATCAGCCGCGCTCGTCATGAGCATCGTCATCATAAGCAGCAGCAAAATCTTCCTGCAAGATTTGTAACATCACCACCATCATCAAAACTTACTGTTAATCATCATCAACTTCTACGTCAGAAGTGGGCCCGGCTATCAATCATCATCATCAACTTCATTATTTTAATCACCAACTCCTCCCACTCGACTTAAGACATAATCTTCATCAACAATTCAAACCTCTGCTGCTGTATCGATGCACAGACATCATCATCACCACCACATCGCTCATTCCTACCGTCCCCAAATCAATTGCAGTCATCACCGCCACTCATCCTCCTCCCCACGTGCACGCCTTAGAAGATTGTGGGCCAGAAGATGAGGTCTGTGTGCGGGGGGGGGCAGCCGTGACTACGGCCTCAGTTTGTGTATTTAATACATTCACTGTCATGTGACTATGCATTATGCCATGCGATGTGCTCCATATCAATACGGTCATGCGTATGTCCTGTGTGTGTTCTCTATTGGGATACAGTCTATATATACTGTACCGTGTCCTGCATTGATCCATGTACTGGATGCCCTGTATGAGTGCAATATATCAGTACAAGTTATATATTGTTTTATCCATCATGTATATCAACATTACAGAATTTATATAAGTACTGTATGTACTATGTGCATATGTATACGCATTCTGCGTGTCTGCTGTGGATGCGAGTTGACACGTGCTCGAAGTGTCTCCTCTGTCTACCTGTGTTGTGTATCCTCCGTGAGTACGTCAGTGTATTCACGCGACATACATGTCATTTACCGTGTGCCATATCTACGTCATGGGCAGAATGTCCTCTACTGATGCATCTGCTGTACCCCGCGTAGATGGTCGTTGGCCTGTGCGCAATGAATGTGCAACGTTGATCCCAGATCCTGTTTTGCTGTCGATTACAACTTCCTGCCTATCCTGTTTGACCTGTATTCATTCGTGTGTGGCACATGCTGTGTCCTGTACCGAGATGTGGTATTCGCGATGCTCTGTATTGGTTTGTGGTATGTGTTGTGTCCTACACTGACATGTGAAATGTCTTCTGCGTATCCCGCTTTGGTATATGCTCCGTGTTCTGTATCGATATGTGGTATGCGCAAGTGCGTTTTTATCGGCGTATCTCCGTTGTACCTGCATTGACGCGTGGGTACGCGCTGCGTTTGGTATCGATGCCTGGCACGTACTGAATGCAACCTTCGTCGATACTCGACACGTGCTGTGTGCGTGTCTGTGTGTCTCCTGTGTTGTACATGTGGTATGGTAGCATGTCCCGCTCTGCATCGATAAGTGGCACGTGCTCTCTATCTTGCATTCATACGAGGTGCGTGCTGCGTGTTCGCTCCCCGCGCAGGCGACTGCTGGTGGCGTTGGCGATGGTGCTGGCCATGGTGATGCATTCTGTGGAGGCTGTGAGTACTGTCATTACCAACCGTACACGATCCATACATTTGAGGTCAGGGTTAAGTTCAAGATCAGGCTCAAGGTGCGAGTCAAATCCCAAGGAACCATGGGATGTGCCTCACCCATCACGTGCTATGGACTGTGGAACTCTCTGTCAAAGGCTGTCAATGAACCCGGTTCGATTGGGACCTTTAAGCACAGCCTAATAGCAGTTCATAATTCGGAAAGCATTTGCTTTCTTCATTGAACGACCTCTTTACCCATCCCCCATCCCCCATGTGGTACTCTTTGAAGATAAAAGGAGCTGTATAAAGTTATTCTCGTGATGTCTTTCACTGTTCCTGTGTAGGTAAGTTACTAGTTTGGGCTCAGTCCCCCTGTATACGTTTGCGTCACACCTTTACCTACGCAGCGATGGTGATGATGATGTATCCATCATGATGGTGGTGTATCCATCATGATGGTGGTGTATCCATGGTGATGATATGGTATCCATGGTGATGACGGTGTATCCATGGTGATGACGGTGTATCCAAGATGATGATGGTATCCATGGTGATGACGGTGTATCCATGGTGATGACGGTGTATCCATGGTGATGATGGTATCCATGTTGATGACGGTATATCCATGGTGATGACTGTATATCCATGGTGATGATGGTGTTTCCATGCGATCTGTTCAGTGTTTCGAGGTGCAGTACCGTTTCAATTTGAACGTCAGCTTCTGAATTGTGTCACATATCGTGACTCACACTCCAGTGCACTCTGCGTCGTGGTTACCGAATACCGACCCTTGAAGGGGAAGCAGGTGACACATCTGTACGTGTGTTGAACTTCTTTCGCACCGTACGTAGCCAACCGTGCTCATCAGAGGTGACGGGTTGCTTGCGCACTATACTAATAGGGGTTTTGCCCTTTTTTCTGGCAACAAAACTGACGCCTTTTGCAAGGAATCATGTTTACATTAACCACAATGCTTGCAGTCAAATGCAAACAAAAAACAATACTCTGATAATTTATGCATTGTCCTTGAAATTGATTGGTCCACACCAGAGACAGCTTTCTATAGAGCCTAGTCTCATATGGTGTTCGACCAGATGACGCCAAAAGACGCACAGTTCAAGACAACGCATACTACAGAGTAATGAGAGCTCGGGGTGAGCAGCTACATCATGGGACCTCCTTTGCCAGTACCAAAATATACTAATATGGGTTTCCCCTTTTTTCTGGCAACAAAACTGACACCTTTTGCAAGGAATCATGTTTACATTACCCACAATACTTGCAGTCAAATGCAAACAAAAAACAATACTCTGATAATGTATGTCCTTGAAACAGATATTACTTGCGCACTGTTCCGCAACAGGGCAACGCACGCTGTGTAACAGGTTGCTCCACAAAGGGCGATTCGTTGCCTCGGTATAAAATATGACGATACAAAGGCAGCCTGCAGGTGCGAGGTGGACACCGAGACGCGATCCACGACGTATTTACGGAGCCGCGTTTTTTGTGCCGCGCGTTAGTTATTTATTTTTCATCTCCGAATTTTTTTTATCGCTCTCCGACGTAACTGGGAGTTGGTGAAGAAGGAGCCGACGACGGGGGCAGTTGCCACACCCTCACCGCCCGATCTTGAAAGCCTCTGGAGTCCTAGCTTCGGTATCTCTCCATCACCCCCCCACCCCATCTCTCTCTCTCTCTCTCCACGTGCGCGTTTACGACGCCTTCTGCTGAATGCCCTTTCGTCTGTCAGGATGTGGATGATGAAGGGAGGAATCATTTACGGAAGGGTTTGTTGTTGTTGGTGGGGGGGGGTTCTTGCTTGCTTGCCTCGCATGTTATGGAAACTGACGCGGGTCCTCTTCGCACGAGCACCACCGCCCAATGCGTTCACAAATATTTAATAGCGCCGACTGTGATTCTTTCAGCGTGTGGGTGTGTGCGTGCGCGCGTGTGTGTGCGCGTGTGTGTGTGTGCGTGTGTGCGTGTGTGTGTGTGCGTGTGTGTATGCGTGTGTGTATGCGTGTGTGCGTGTGTGGGCGTGTGCGTGTGTGTGTGTGTGCGTGTGTGTATGCGTGTGTGTATGCGTGTGTGCGTGTGTGGGTGTGTGCGTGTGTGTGTGTGTGCGTGTGTGTGCGTGTGTGTATGCGTGTGTGTATGCGTGTGTGCGTGTGTGGGTGTGTGCGTGTGTGTGTGGCTAGCTGTTAGCGCGCCGCGCCGCGAACCCGGCTACCCGAGTTCGATTCCCGCTCCCACTCACGCCCACCAATATCAGCAACGATTATTCCAACCGGTCCTGGGCCTCCTCTAGGTCGACTCAACCTCAAATTAATAGCTGGTGCATTGTGTAAACATCGCCACTAGGGAGACAAAGGCGGCCAGGGCGTGGTGCTGGCAGGCCACTACCTCGTGTGCCGTGCCGGCCTTCACAGTTACTACTCGCTAACAGCACTTTCCACGACAGTCTGTTAAAGCTAACACGGGAGATCTTTGACTTTGTCTTTGTGCGTGTGCTGGAACGCAGCATGATAACGTTTTATATTTTTTTTATTGAAAAAACATTTCACGTACCTCTTTGCCAATCTTGCTCTGTTCGTTGTAAATCTTTTCTAAGAGCATTGTCTTAAGATGTACAGCGGATCGACAGTCAGTCAGATGGATAGACGGAAAGATGGACAAACGGACGATATATTCCGCTTCTGTCAATAAGTAGCCTCTTCCTGCTCTCATACCAATTACAAAGCTGAATTTGCAAGGGTCTCCGCCCTGGTGAGAGTGTCAGACTCGCACTGTGAGAGCTGAGTTTTAAATGGCAGATGAGATCAGTCCATTCCATCATCTACGTGGGGTTTGATAATTTTAAAAAAACGCGAACCATGGAAATGTGGAATTTCCACTGCGGGTAACGGGCCGCCAATGGATACGAGCACTTGAATTTTTACCGACTTACAGCAAAAGCTGGATATAAGCACTCAATAGAAGGACCGTTCTGATATAAGCAACACGAGCTTACATTACGCTGGTGGTGAAAGGCAAAGGGCAATGTCAGGTCCAAGCACGCTACTGGGGCTACTGGTGATGGATATAAGCACAGCTCACGCTGCTCCCACGGGGTGTGCTTATATCCAGCTTCCACCGCAGTCGTCGCCGTCTCGCCAAAACGGGTGACTAACAACACGTTGTTATTATAACAACACGTTGTTATAACGACACGTTGTCTACGCCGTGGAAACCGCGATAGGCCACCGCCTGCCCACGTGGTGCCACCGTGAATTCCGTGCCACCGTGAAATCCGTGCCACTCACTGGAGGCGCCGTTGGCCGCGTATTGGACCAAGAAGGGGGGGGGGTCAGGGATAGCCCCCCCCCCTCTCTGATTGCCCACGTCGCTGCTCAGTGTCGCCGCGGTTCGTTCGGTCGCTGCGATGTTCCGCGTAGAATGGCGATTCGCGACGCGTCTGAATATTGGCCACGTGACGACGCGTTGATGAAAATACGTTCTTGTGATCACAGTCTGATCACTCGTTACACACAAAGTGTTCGCCACAAATGAACCGCAATAGAGTAGCTCGCTGATCTCGTCAAGTGGCATAAACGGCGATCACGAGAACTGCGCTCATCCTCACAGCAGCAGCAGCAGCGGCTTTGTCTGCCCATCGAACAAAAACGGCGGTCACCGCATCGCCTGGCGCTTTCAGATGCGCTACTGCGGCCGTCTGGAACGCTCTTCCTTCCGATATTAGGAAGTCACTGGAGCGTTGCGCTTTTAAATCATCCAGATTGAAAACGAATTTCTGTAAAACTGATTTTTGTGTTAAGTTTGTTGTCCTTTCCGATTAGCACGGTTGGCTACGTACGATATGAAAGAAGTTCAACATACACACTGTACACACGTGTCAAATCGTGTGTGAACATTTATATATATATAACTGACGGTTTGCTAATACCACTTGTGTAATAATGTAAGAGAATAAAATACTTTTATTTTTGCAGGAAATCCTGTAAGGTTACTTTTTTCCAAGAGGGGTCTGTGCGCTGGTTGAGATGTTTGGCCAATTCTGTAAAACGGGAGCTTAACAGAATTAAAAGGGAAGGTAAGCAGAGCGGAGTGGGTTGGACCACTTGTTTGACATCTGTGAAAAAGCGCTTCATAGCTCATTGGATTTCTCCAGGATCAAGTAAAGATCGTGAGTCTGTGTGCATCGTGGAGTCGAACCCTCGCAGCACTTCTGCCACATCCGGGCCACACGCCTACAACACCTGGCAAGCCCCGGTGATCGCACATCCAATCAGCGATCCAGTCTGAGTGCAGCTTGGCATTTCAGATGCAACGGGATCGGGGATTCAACTTACGCGGAATGTGTTTAAACAACAATAACAACAACAAAACACACCGATATGTCAATGTTACATGTCGGTGAACGTAATCAATGAGACGGAACGAAATATGTTTGAATGAGTGCAAATGAAACAATGAAACAAGACCCAAAGCAAACCATTCTTAACTCGAGTCCGTCACCCCTCAATCATGACGAATTGTCGTGTCGAATCGCTGGGGAGTTGGAGGCGAGGCGGGGCTTGAATCGCCATATGCCAAATCTTACACGAGCTATATCGGAACATATTGCGTGGGGTGGAGGGGTGTGGGGGGGAGTGTGGGGGTGGGGGGACTGTGGGTGGTGTGGTGGTGGAGGGGTGTGGGGGGAGTGGGGGTGTGGGAGGGGTATCGTGCCGGTGTGGGGGGGAGTGTGGGGGAGTGTGGGGGGTGTGGGGGGAGTGTGGGGGATGTGGGGATGTGGGGGTGGGGGGGGTGGGGGGGGGTATCGTGCCGGTGTGGGGAGGGGGGGGTGTTGGAGTGGGGACGCAGCAGCGGAATCTTCGGAGCGGGACGTGGGGCAGTGGAGGATTCAGCGCAGCGCGATCGCTCCCCGATTGTCGCGACGGCAGATTTGTGTACGAGGGTTACGGGGTAAAAACAATATACTTCTGTTCCCCCGACTATTTCCA